TTTTTTTTTTTTTTTTTTTTTTTCAGCAGCCTAATAAAATAGTACATTAAATGAGAATGTCAATCCAACATCTACTAAAGCACGGCCATATAAATAAAACATTCAATTAATCAATCAATAATCAAAAGAAACAAACAAATTAAACCTTGGATATATAGAAACTAGTACTAATCAGTTAACATAGGAAAACAGAACAAGAGCAGAGCAAAAATATACCTACACGGCGCTTGGCTTGCGGTAAAGTGAACAGGGAATTGAATCTGCCTCCTCTAGGTTATATTGTGCTTTCATTGACGGCCAATAAGAACAGGATTACAGGCATGGACATGATAGTCCTCTAAGAAAAGACATACGTATTGTATAGATAATCAAAATCACAACAGCGGCTAAGTCAGAAAGTTAATTATCCTTGATTCACCTTTCTTACGTTAAGCAAGTTGTGATTGTGACCTAGCTAATTCTTTTTGTTTTAGCATATTTTAACTTTTGGATCTTGATTTTGTCTTACAAATTAAATTTTATTAATATTATTGGAAGAAAGAATAAAGTTTCATGATCTTGAGTCACAGAGAAATATATATGATAAATAAAGAAATGAAGTGTAGTTTATGAGGCACAAAACTACACTTTTTTTTAAGTGATGAAGGGGTCTACAAAATAACATTCTCTATGGTAAAAGATGCGGGAATAATTACCAACAATCGTGCTATCTAGATTCGGTTCTCCACTTCTATTCGCTTGCCCGTCACCTTTATCACCACCTTCATGCTTTAATTTAAAGCAGAGCATATAAGATTGCACATAGATCACCAATCCAACAAAGCGAGAACATGGCATTTATGCAGTGTTTAGAAATGCATCCCAGCCGGGAGATGACGGTAGACGAGTTCAAAGCCTGGCTCCAGCAGTTTGATACTAATCATGACGGACAGATCAGCCGAAGAGAGCTTAATAATGCTCTCCATAGCATGAGAACATGGTTTGCATGGTGGAAGGCACGGCAGGCGATGAAAGCAGCAGATGTCAATCATGATGGTCGGATTGACAACGGTATGGAAATTGAGAAGCTTTTCAATTATGCTCAACAACGTTTGCACATGAAAATCTGCCAAAGTGATTGGTAATGTTTTGAATGTTAAAGTTTTATCAAATGTGTATATCTCTTTTCTTGTGACAAAATGTATCTTTGGATTTACTATAATTAATACTTACTCATTTTCTTCTTCACAATAAAAAAGAGTTTCCTAGCAAACTACAAAATAAAAGTTATTGAATGGAAAATGATCCTTAATATAAAAAAATTCACCCTTATCCAATAACAAATATTATATAATTTAATACCAACGAGGGATTGGATCAAGTGGTAAGCGGCTTGTTCCAGCTTAAATAAGATCTCGAGTTCGAGACCTTGTGCATGCAGTAGCTCTCGCTGGGAGACTCACCCACCATTTCTAGGTGCGCGACGCGGGTCAGGTCCGGATTAATCCGGGTAAAGCCCCGGATACCGGGCGGGAAACCAAAATAAAAATATTATATAATTTAATATAATTTAAACTGTACAACATTTATTTTTATTAAAAACAAATCATCACTTTCTTTTTAATAAAAAGAAGCCTGATCTAGAATAACACGAGTTCTGAGCCCACCATAAAGTAAGCCCAAAGACTAGTTACAGGGAAGAGGATCTCAAGCCCAGTCTGGTTCCACCTTAAATGGATCTGGTGGGCTAAGCGCGGGAATGCCAAACGAGCAGACAAATTTTTGCAAATTTTGCTAGGGATTTGTTGGATGAGGTGAGTATTTTTAGAATTGGTCCTGTGGAACTGCAAATACCTCATTCCTATAATTAGGGGACATGCCTTCAGCTATATCTATGATACGAGGACCTCATTGTTTGAAGGACTGATGTTTTGCAGTCTCAGCGGGATATATAGATTATACAATACACATGCTGGATTTGTTATTAAGAGCACTGAGAAATAATTAGCAAAATGATTTTTTAATAGGAAAAAAAGCTATTATTTAGAATACAAGGCTATTTCAACCCTTGCATCAAACCAATATTACAGAAGAAACGCAACCATTTGATGTTGTGTATATATATTAAAAATATATACTATTTTCTAATTATAATATATCTATACTATATATATACTTTATTATAATAATATTATATATCTCTATATCTTATAATTAAAGTAGATAGTTGGAGTACTTATGCAAATGGGAGTTAGAATTAAAGGCAAGAGTCTGAAACAAAACAATTGAAAGAAAAAGTGTAAGAGTAGACAAATGGTTGTCTAAATAACCACCAATGCGGTTTGTAATTATCTAGGAAAAAACCAGAACAATTGCAATTCTTGATGAAGAATTGCATTTTTGTGAATCCGTACATATGGCATCTATTGAGTCATATAAATCAAAGGACACCAATAGAGCAAATCAGTCCGAATATAGAAAATCCTTCCTTTTGTTTTCATATTTTTGCCTCTTAATTAGCATACTGGCTTTGGGCATCAAATTTCAATATAATACGTATATTATATCTTAGGGATAATGTTTTTTTTTTTTTTTTCCTTTTCTTTTAGGGATGAAAACTATTATATTTGAGATGAATTCTTAAAATTGCCTTTACTTACATCAATTTCTCTACACTTAACTCTCTGCACATACGTATATACAACATTTGAAATACAATTTCAAAACTCAATCAACATGGGAGCAGTCTCCGCCAAGCATCCACAGTCAAAAAACTTAGCCCCACCCTTTAATTGGCAAAAATGGTTATCTTTTTTTTTTTTTTTTTAATGAAATCTATTTTTTAAATAAGGTATTCGGTTATCTAGAATGCTTTGGTTCTACCACTTTTATGGTAAGCCCGAATCATGGTCCTTGTATGGAGATAAGAGATTGGACTTTTGAGAAAATGAGGTTTCTGAAGGATATGAGATTTGCCGGTCATTGATCTCATATATAATAAAATGAGAAATGAGCCCAAAAAAACAAAAAAAAACCGACCCATATGTAGTACTCCTCCGTACTTAACCTCCCCAAAACTTAAATTTATACATAACTCCATTGATGTTTGATGCTAATAAATGACCTTCATCTCCCTTCTGATCCATTGTCGAAAATCGAGCAACTAATATTTTCTTTCCTATCTACTTCACAACATCTATCTATTAATTTAAATTTTCAAATTGTGTGAAACTTTAAAATTTTAAATTGCGTGAAACTTTCTTATTGCAATTTGGTGGTAAATGGTTTTAGAGTATTTTGTTAAAAAAGAATTCTCATAAACTTTATGCTCTTTTTTTTTTAAATAATAATCAAGTGAAAAAAAAAAAACCGAAAATAACACTGCTCTGTAAAATACTAGAAAGAAAATAAAAATAAATTAAAGGTGGTGTTGGGGTGATGGGAGACCAAAACAGTGAGTACGCCTTAGACGAAAGCTAAAAGGCCACTTCTGCGCTGTGCCAAAGACTCTGCTTGGGGGGTGGGTTTGACTGGTCCTTGTTTGCAGCACTGATTCTTGGGAATCCACCGCGTGTCATAACCCCATTTGGGGGGAATGCAAACAAAAAGTTTTAGCCCATGTGAGTGACAACTATATCCTTTATGACCAAGTTATTTTTATTATATATATATATATAATGAAGTTCACATTGTTTTGGTCCTTCCCCACATGTTAGCATGACCTCCCAAACCCATCCTCTCCTCCTAAACTATTTCCTTTTCTGTCTTTTATCAACTAAAACTTGCCTAATTAATCTTGATTATCAGATACTAGATCAATTTGGGGACTTGTTGATTCCAAACACAATAAGCATAAAGATATGCTTACAAAGAAATGAACCCATTTCTTCTCTTGTCTTTTAGTTTTATGCATGAGTATCAAATATTTGGTCAAATCTAATTATGACACCCTGCCTCAAATTTTACATCAAAACCGCTACTAATAATTCAAATTTGAATTCTCAACATAAATTTTGAGTAAAAGAAAGTTATGCCAATGGTAATGGAGGTTCATGTAGGATTGACGTACGCAATGGACAAAAAGAAATGGGTCCATATATGAGAAGAAAATTGTCAATGATTCTTTTACTTTGACACGAACTGAGTAATTGTGTCTCTGAATTCTTTTTAGCACCAATGAATGGCGATTACGATAGAAACAAAAGGCCACTTCATATCGTAAGGAAGATCTTCACGTGCCCACGTGATTCTTCCAGTGCGCTTGCGCATAAAGCACTAGCTACGTACTAATTTCGAAGATAAAAAAGACTCATTGCTTCAATACTGCTCGAGGCTTTTCAACCTTGAGCTTTGAGCAGTTGATGATGATGAGCTTATTTAGACCCCAATTATTTAGAGAAAAAGGTTCCTAAGTCCTAACCGCTCATCAAATTTTACACTCTGAAAAGACTGATTTCATCTTTATTGGCTGCATTATAGGACTGAAAGTAACTTCTTTTTTTTTTTTGGCTATTTCTTTTTTCATCCCACCTAACATTCACGCAACACACCTACATGCAAAAACTTGACGGATATAGAAGTCCTTTTTTTCCAATATCAAAGTGAGTTATAAAACTAAAATAATAATTCTTATTCTAATCTTTTCTCTTTTGTTAAGATTTAAATTGAGATCTTTAACTCAAATTTTGTACTTGATTTGTTAGGTGCATCATATGGGACATGTAATACATTTTTATTGTTAGAGCCTCTAAGGGAATGTATTAGAAAATTTTTTGATTCATAGAAATAAAATGTGTGGGTGTGAGTCCCATAAAGAAAGAAGATTAAAAAAAATAGAGAAATTAATTTTAAAAAAGGGTTAGATTTAATGGTTAAGTTGTGTTTGAGAATGTGGCATTAAGATCATTAGTCTAAGGACAAAAACAAAAAAAAAAAAGAGTATAAGGATGATAAGGAATAAAAACAAATATAAAGATGAAAACAAACAATTTTTCAAAATACAGAGACTTCCATCGGCTTCAACCCAATTCATAATTAAATGGTACGTACAAATTCAACCAAATTCTAATTTTATTAGAATTTGGGGAGAAGAGAGAGAGAGAGAGAGATAGTAATGCAATACAACATGTATAAAAAAATTTTTTTTATTAAAATGTCAATTTAGGCAAATGAAATGATAAAAATACTCTGCTCACCCTTGAGTTCGTGTGTATTAATGAAAGGGCATTTTGTTACTAAATTTTAAATTAAGATAGATTCTTCCACTCTATCACAGTGGTTTAGGTCCTGAATTAATAAAAAAACATATTTTGTGCGTTATATGTTTGAATTCTCACAATTTTTTTTTTACCATTTTCATTTAATTAAATATATATTAATTTCAGTTCATTTTAAAAAATTTTAAATCAAAAAATATTTTTTTATTTGTTATTTTTCTAAAAGCATTCCTTTTGTTTTTTGGTACCTAAAAGAACAAAGCGCAGGGGAATCACGTGGTCCTTTTGATGCGTCGGTATCGCCAGCTCATTCACCGCTAATTTACTTGCAAGTAAAAGCACAGCACGGTCTTCTCTTTGAATTTTCTTTTTTTTCCCCTGAAAAGCCAATTCGGAATTAATATCCCCAATATTAGCATAATAAAAGGTTTTTATTTTTACAATTTAAATTATAAAATAAAAATATAATATATGCATTAAATTTATTAAAGTATTTTTAATAAATTAATATAAAAAATTATTTGTATAATTTTACATCTCAAATTCCACCTTTTGTTTTTTTGTACAACTCAATGAAAATCACACTTCTCACTTACCATAAATAACAGCTAGCTGTGTTGCTTGGTGTGGCAGCAATGTTCCATAATGAAGGTGTCGTCATCCACTTATAAGGCACACGTTTAAGACATATCTGTGACATGAATTTACTTTTCCTGCCTCAACTATATGCTGTCTTAATTTGTATAGGCATTGCCCTGCACCCCCGCCCATTGCTCTCACTGCCATTTTCCAATTTCGTGAAAACTCCTTTCCAGTCTCTGCCTCCAATTACATATGCTTTCAACTTCAAAAAAAAAAAAAAAAAAAAAAAAAAAAAAAAAACCAAAAAAGAATGAATTTGTTTATGTGAAAGTGTCTGCAAAAGCTGATTAATTTCCTTAAACTTAACATTTTTTTCTATTGCAATAATTGTAATTGGGAACTCTAAAAAATTGAATTTATTAATAAATAAGTATTATTTTATAAGTCAAATCAATAACTTTTAAAATCACTTAAGGATGAATTAATAGTAAAATACATAAAATTGACCAATAAATACCCTAACCTTAAACGTCAAAAAAAAAAAAAAAATCATAGCTGAGTTGGAAGTTTGAAGTTTAAAACTTCATACACTCTTATATTTTAACTTATTTTTTAAATAAATTTTCTATCTTATACTTTAATGAAAGTATAAGCATCGGTAGTCGACCAAAGTGATCAGGTTGGAATTAATTAAGAAAATACTAAATTTGCTGTGAGAGCTTCTTGGAATCTTCGGAGAAGTTTTGCAGAGGGTTCGAAACATGAAGAATAAGGAGATTGGTTCTAGAAAGTAGAGTTTTACTACATTGTTTATGTATTTGTTTATTCTCATTGATGGGCTGACTAGCTTAGGTAAGAACTGAACTTATATTGGAGAACTGCCTTTTTTATGTCAAAAGGTTAAATGCTTAGTCATTGCAGTGGATTGAATTAATCTTAATTTTACATCAAGGGTTTTAAATTCACTATGTACTAACTCAACTAATCTCTTAATAATAATTTATTATAAATTTTTATAATTTATCTTTTTAAAGTAGAAATTAAGAATAAATTAATAAAATTTTAGTCATTAATTTATATAAAAAAATTAATATTGATTTTAATATTAATATTATAGGTCTTAATTTTATTAATTAATTATTAAAATTAAAAATTAAAATTTTTATATAATTTAATAGTAAAAAATACATTAATTATTATCTTCAATATCCTGACTTGTGCGGGCGCAACTTTAAAAAAAGCATTTATTGTAAGGAAATGCAAGCTTTCTGCCATCTTCATTGGTTCATAAGGTCAGTCCCAGGGGGAAACAGTGGGGAAGTTGGGAGGATATAATTCTGGCTACCTTCAAAATTATTCATCATTGAATGGCAATTAATGTCGGCCAAAAAAATGCCATTTAACATGTCATGACAAAACATCACATCATGGGCCATGACATGCATGAATTCAAAAAAACATACATCGCCCTTACCACACTTCCACTTCTTAGATATAAATACAGAGTCTGCTAGGTAAGAGCTCAACAACAAGAGGATCCTGTAGAGTTTATTTCTCCTCTTCTTCTTCTCTTTCCCATGTCGTTTTGAAATCTCATGGCATGCTTAGACATGTATAACTCCGAGCACAAAGGTATTCACTCATCATACGCTGCTCCCATGAGCCCTAGAATCTCTTTCTCCAATGATTTCGTGGAGTCTCATCATGGCCACCAGATTGTAAAGCAAGAGAGGAATAGTACTCCGGTATCCTCCGACTTCGAATTCTCGGTGTCCAACTACTCCATGATGAGCGCCGACGAGCTGTTTTTTAAGGGTAAGCTTTTGCCATTTAGAGATACCTGCAATAACCAAATGCAGAGGACTTTGAGAGAAGAGCTGCTCGTTGAGGAGGAGGACGACGACATGTTCCAGATAAGACCGCCGAAAGGTTCCCAAAAATGGAAGGGATTTTTGAGTTTGAAAAAATCCCACATTGGGTCCAAGAAAGTTGAGAAGACCGAAGGGTCTGCAGAGAAAACCCACGACATCAAAACTAACCGGGTAAAACAAAGACACACTTTAGTCGTTGCTGTTGTTGTTATTATTATTATTTTTAATTTCTTTTCTTCATATATTGACTTCTTTTTTTTTTTTTTATTGTGCTTTTGTTGCAGGAACCTTTGAATGAAGGAGGGTCCAGTGGCAGGGATGTTGAGAGTGGAATATAGAGGACAAGCATTTGTAGAGATGTGGTGGGGGATTTTTTTTTTCCAAAAAACGAACGGAGGATGGATGCCATTTTTCTTTTTTAGATGTACGTCTTAATCTGTGTTAGTGAATTGATTTTAATACCTTTTTGCGTTGATCTTGGAAACTTGGGGTTTATTATGTAAAAAATGATTGTAGTTGAAGAACATGTCATGTTGGGGTTTTATTTCGAGCATTCATTGATATAGATCTGAGATGGGTCATGGCATTTTTTAACTCTACTTGGAATCTTGGATCTAACCCTGTAATTTTCTCTTTGACTTGGATCTACTGGTACCTACCTCTATCTATATTTATTTTATGAGGTTTAATGATCATCCATTTATGTTTGTGTTTGTGCTTGGATATATATATTTTATATGTGAGAGGGAGAACCTTGATACCAAGATGGTGCAGTCAAATTCAGAGGATACTCTGGGGAAATTAATTTTCTTTCCCTGTTTCTTTATTGCAAGCAAAGGCAAGTTTATTATCCAAACATCTCATCTGATCTAAAGGGTAGGGAGAGTTGCAGGGGTAGGTTTTGAGTGAGAATTAAGTGACAAGCACATGATCAGCCACTAACTTGACAGCTAATCAGGGGCTAATCTAGGGGAAGATCAATTTGCTTGAGTTGGCTTAAATCGTTAAGTCTATTTCATAATAGGAGAGATTAAGTAATTGCAAGATAAATAAAATACTAATGTCAATTACCAAAAGATGATGGACCTGTGCTCTCACTTTGTTTATTGATATTGATTTCTTGATAAGGTTAATAAAGAGATAAATTCTCATGAATTCAATGTGAAGAGCTAGTA